GTGTTTAGAGTATTGGGTACGAATTTTTCGGTTAAGACGTAGGATCTGACAATTAAATATTCGATGTTAAATAAATATTCGATAGATAAGCAGTAAGCAGCTTATCTTTTAAGTATTGTCAATGGTCTAAATCATGCCTGAAAATAATATTATTTTCTTGGTCTTTTGAAATTTTGGTGAAGCTTACGTAAATATGAGGCTCGATATGCGATACAAATCAAAGGTCATGAATCTGCTTGTTTTTTAAGTCATGGCTTTTGCATGCAAAAATTCGAAACTGTAATTGCATAACTATATTGTTATATAATTCTGTTATATTAGATTAGAAATCTTGACTCATGAGTAACAATGCGGATAAATTTTTCAAATTCCCCTGATTAAAGCATTCTTGGTTACATCGCCGGTCAAATACAAGGACAAAAATACAAACGACTGGAACCTGATTGTCTCTAAACAGCTGGCGAATGATCGCTTGCATGTATTGCACCTGCGATCCAATGTTATGATTACCAAGATACAACAAAATGCAAGTAAACTCAAAGAGAACAAAATTCCACCAGGGCATTGCTGCCTCACAATGTTCCCGTATTGTGTCCCGTATGCTGCAAGAATATCATGAATTATTGCATTCCCGTACTAAATTGCAGCGTTAATATAGGAGTATTCCCGTATTCAGATGCGTCGTTAGGAACGCAATGTTACCTCGCGAGAAGTTTTGGCGCGTGCGTAATTTCCTCCTGAACTCGGCCTGACTTTTTGTCGAGGCCTCAACGCAAAGTTTATGCCAAGGCAAAATGATTTACTTTGGCTTTTTACTTGAATATTGCAAGGGATTGAAGTACGAGATTTATGAAGACGAGTGCTGAAGAAGCTTTATGCGTAAATCAATCCGAATTAGTTCACAAAATATTGGATAATTTAATAATACGATAATTTTGATTTAGATCATGTCTCCTTAGAGTACATTAAAGTGTAGTGTTGAAATTACGATTTTATGATTAATTCAACTATCATAAGTAGACGAATTTTTTTCATCAAACGATTTCGCATTCATTTATAACTTTTTCAAAAATTGCTATTCTACTAAACACTTGTGTCATGGTTTAGAATCTAAATGATTCGTTGTTACAAACTTAGGCGACTGATGAGATCGAATAAGACAATGTTGTTCATCTTTAAATCGTCAATATATGAGCGAGGATCAAGAAAGTTGACGAGTAATTATTTGTGAAAAGATTAAAGATTAGTTTATACTTGCACGTGGTCCCGAAAAAAAAACATTTTGTACTATTCGCTGTAAAATAGAATCAAAGACATATAAGGAAATAAACTTGAAAATAATAGAAACAACGTTCATATTGTGTTGGAAGATACAGCGTTAAAATTAGTTTGAAGATGGTTCTAATCCTAATTAATTTTACCGAAAACTATTAGTTTTATGGTAAAAAAATATCTCATGAAATACATTACTTTTATTGACCTTATGTGCAAGAAGCTATATTTATCTGATCAATGCTTGTAAAACTAATTAATTATAAATTGAAATGATAAATTAAAGAATTCTCTTGTTTTTTAGCAGCGAATGCGAATATACTCTATATAATAAAGATTATATATAATGAGATGCCGACAATCAGTTGAAACGGTTGCAAAAACAAGAAATTTTTCTCCGCGTGCCAGTAAAGCCAACAAAAACAGGTAAAAAAACGTGTCTGTTTTCCATGCGGCAAAATACGTGTCTGTTTTCTGACAACTTATGAGCCTGACCATCGAAAATGATAATTAGTGTTTGCATCTGAATGCGAAGTGTGGAGCCCCTCGTTAGAGTGCGCAGCGCTTGTGCTCGCTTTTTGTCGTTCACTGAGCGAAAACAAAAGTGATTAATTAATACCTTGTTATAATTTTTCAGGTGTATGTATTTTTCCGTTGCAAGTAAATAGTTAGGCGTACTAAGAAACTGTATTAATACTGATATTTTTAGCGATGTCTACATATATCTGCGAATGTTTTAAAATGTTTTAAAATGTTCACTCCCACTTACATATACTGAGGTCGACACGTTAACCAGCCTATAGCAACCGAACTGTGCTATCGAACCTTCAGAGTTGAAGCCTGCGAGCAAAAGTTTGTATACAACGGCTTTCAGGGCCGATTGAACCTCGCCTTTGAGCTTGATAGATCGAAAGAAGCTCTCAAATCTGCTGAGTTTTTTTTTTACATTTTAAGATACACTTCTCCACTTCCCTCGACACATTTTAAGGAACAACACTTCTCCACTTCACTCAACACATATTAAGATACAACACCTGTCNTCGACACATTTTAAGAAACAACACTTCTACACTTCACTCGACACATTTTAAGAAACAACACTTCTCCACTTCACTCGACTCTTAGTTGGTTTTGAATTTCATTAGTGGTGACGAATTTTTATCAGCTTAATAGGGTTCGTGGACGAGTTGCACAAAGTGAAAAATAGTAACTGAGCGAATTAAAATAACATATGTGGACTGCTCGGGATCGATTATTATTATATCGGCTGATGAACGACAGCCTATGTAAATAAGAATGTCCCTAAATGTGGATGCAAAGATTTCTAATCTCATGGCAAATTTTCTATTTGGAGACAGTCTATTTAGACCTTCATCCACTAGCATTATTGAGAGCATTATTTTCATTTAGGTTTCATTCGTAGAAGTTGCTTGTGAGAGGTGCGACCACTTATCAATCGTTCTCCTAGAGAAAAGCTACTAGCTAAAAATTTATTAAATGTATAATCAGAGCATTTCAGGGCACATACTTAACTTTAAAAATTTAGGAGATTGTAAGTTCATCAGCCAATCATTGACGGCCTTCCAAGCAAAATCCACCAATCATAGACAAGAAAATAGAGCGTAAGTACTTAAGTTCATTTAGCGAGTTTTGAAAGTATGGCGCCAGGTAAGCACGCTGGACGTTAAACTTTACCAGCGTGCCAACTATGCAAAAGAAATTTGAATGAGATAGAATTCAGATGGAACAGCCGCTGCACGTCTTCCAGACATCGCTAATATATGCAAGCACTCCTTCATTAGACGATGTCCTGAGGGCCTCTTCAAAAAGGCCATCGAAGGAATGAGGGAAAATGCCCTCCCAATACTTTCTTTTTTGTCCCAATCAGTCCCGTGAAATTGAAACCCACGTAAGTAATTAGCTTGCGCTGATGACGTCCAAGATTGAGGTGGTCTCAGTACCCGTGAAGACGGTATTTTCGATTAGGATATTAATTTAATTAATATTTTATGTGCGAATCATAATATCCCCGAAACTATCAAAGTATACACTTTTCAGTCCTTCGGAAGTTTAATTGGAATAAATAATTATAAATTTCCATTTTACGTATCTTCTTAAATCTCGAATTATGTAACACTTGTTTAAACTTCTAAAATTCAAAAGAAAATTATTTCCTAACTAACGGGTCTTATCTCTTGACCGTTTCCATTTCCTCCAATTAGTTTTTCTCCTATTATCCTCAATTGTATTGAGAACTTTCATAACCAATCCGCATCTCTAAAGTTGATCGACACGACGTCTTCTGGCTCTGTTAGCTTCGGTCATGCTCGAGATCAGTAAATGCCTGGAGAAAGGTGACCAGGGGCCATACTCTCAAAACTGAACGTAAGTACTTACGCTCTATTTTCTTGTCTATGTTTGCTGTATTTTGCTTGGAAGGCCGTTAATGATTGGCTGATGAACTTACGATCTCTTAACTTTTTTCGAAGGTATAGGCCCAGGAGTAAACCAAGTTCGTGAGTTTAAAAGTATACATTTACAAAAGCTGCCAAAGATCGATATGTTTTTCCGAAGCATTAACAAGGAATAAGACAAACAAATCGACTGCTTATCGAGTGATGGCACACGTCGATCAATTCATTCTGTGATCATTCGAAACATTATTATTGGATGATTTAATTCTGCTGAAAAAAACTTCAAACATTTCAATGAAAAGCTCGTTTTATTTCTCATCATTCAATGTATTCGCATTTGCATACTTCGGAGAGATTTAAAATAAAATTATTGGGCAACAACTAAATTTAAAAAATAACTACAATTCAATCTAACGCACGAAGTCATCATGAATTTATCTAAAAATTACACTTAGTAGCTTTTATTAAGCTAAGAGTCTTAAGGACAACTAATGCCTAACGTAATATTCTGCTATTGATGAAATAAGTTGCGTTCCATGCAGACAAAACGAAACCACGCCCAGTGAACAGGAATATTTTCAAAACATTTGGTCGGAATATCTCTCGAAAATTCCAAATTTGTTTAAGCTAAAATTAAAACCATGAATTATTCAGTGAGCATGGCTTCCAATACTACCACGGCGACTGCCACCAATTAACTATTCGGTGTAAATATTTCTTCTCATTAGTTGAAATTTGTGGAAAGATTTTCTTTGGTCATATAATCGGGCAAAAAAATATTTATTAGAATGTGAAAACTATTGTCCACGTCTTCGACTGATCAATTGGTCCGAGTCTTCGACTGATGAATTGTCCAAGTCTTCGTCTGATCAATTGACAAATTGTTCGTCTGATCAATTGACAAAGTCTTCGTCTGTTCAAAAATTCAAAGTCTTCGTTCCAATTTTTACAGTGGTATTTGAGATGATGAATGCCACCTAATTTCAAAAACCTGCCACATCTTTGAAAGTAGCTGGAAGGCTGAATTAATCGTTCATCCGAAGTTCTTATAAGACAGTCAAGCATCCAGGTTCAAAACCGAAAATAAAAATTTGCAATAGAGACTTTGCAATTCATCTGCATTGAATATATTGAACATAGAAAGTTGAATTTTAGAGTGAAACATTTTACTCGCTGCTCTAAATGAAACTTAAATGAGGATTCTTCAAAAATAAACACGGTAAAATTAATCATCCTACTTTGATATTAATTTCCTGAAAATCAAAACTAAGTATAACTATTTGTTTATATTTGTAACGTCTATCTTGTACTTACTGATGTCGAAGGCAGTAGCAGGGAAGCTAAAGGCCAGAGCCAGGAATATCAGAGCCAGCGTCGGCCACTTCATCCGACGACGATCGACCATGACGCTGACCGGAGCTGGCCTGAGGTCAACTTCCTTTATTGACGTCCTACTCACGACGTTTTCTTGGTCTCCACGCATAATTAATACTAATTTTTACTGAGAACTACAGTCCTTTTCACTGAAGTGATTACACTCATTGTTCGATTTTTTTCTCCGGTGATGTTCCGAAAATCTTTTACACATTTTTACACATTTTCTCACAAATATGATCCCCGACACGACCCATGGTCACAATTTTTTTAGCTCTTCGCTTCAAAATCGCAGCATTTTCCGTTACATTAAGTCACAAATACCACTTCATAAAGCAAATTATACATGAATGGTTTGACACCGACACCATGAAATATAATATGAATATATTCTATTGTCGATAAATGATTGATGTACTTTTACAGTTTAATTTAAAGGAAATAAGAATGTANTGCATCAATAGATCAACAGAGCCTCACACTTCCTGAAAAAAATATCACAAGAATTATTAAGGGAAATTAATATTCTGCTCTCTTTAGATAACTATTATTTAATATAAACTAAATTTATCAAAACATATTTTATCATTTTTTATCGTGCTATGAGCAAGATCAGAAGGGCTTCGACATCTCATTTCAGTAATAATGGTAAATAATGATTGGCATTTGTTTGTTTTAATTCGAAGTTTATTAGAGTTTAGGTGTAAATCAAGCGTCAATGTAAGCGATTGTCTGCTAAGCATCCATAACAGAGATTGAATCTTTCTTAATGAGATGTGGCTCTGGTTTATTGCTATGCATTTTTTAGTAGATACAATTATAGCTATCAATTATTAATGATATTATTATAGCTATTCATTGCCAAGTGTTCAACGCTTAGCAATAATTTATGTTTTCCTTTGATTGAAAACTTCGAAACTTGAGCGGGAACTTTAATTAAACAAGACTTACATAATTACTAATACAACTCATATCGATGTCGAATTGTAAAAAGAAATCCAAACTTGGGCCATAAATCCTAATTACTAATGCACTCTATATTGCATTAGTGAGCTAAAATATGAATATACAGAAAATGACGATTTTTTAGTTTTAATATTTTCTGCTTTCTATATTAAAGTAAAACCAAATATTTTCTAGACGTGTAAAACTCCAAGAAATATGTTCAACTAGCGGGTAAATGATAATAAATAATTAGCAAAAAATAATCCACTCGACAAAAATCTCTTTCTTCGTCATAAGCAAGCTTGAGAATACGTAGATTTTAAACCAGATTACTGGAAGACTGAGAATAAAGTCCGCAGTTCATACACTTCGATGATCGATACATTCAAATCATTGGAAACCTGCATCAAATATTAACTTAACAAAGAAAAGTTAGACAAAAAATGGAATGAATAACCACGACTCAGCGAACCAAAATCAAAAATAAAGTTTATTGAAACCATATGCAATTTTAGATGAATACTCATACAAACATTATTTTGCTTTGACCAAACTTGTGTTTATATAGATGTTTACATCGTAATTTTGTTAACCGATTCCTATGTCCCGACCTGGCATCATAGAAAACACATGTGATGTTGTTTTATATATAAACATGTAAACAATATACCTGATATAGAAGAGGTATATTGCTTATAAGACTTGTAACAATTACATATACCTGATAACGTCATCACTGTCGGTGTTCTCATGACGCACTGAACCTCACTACGTCAAATCCATCGTGCTGATCAATCATCGAGACGTGAAGCATCGCCCCCAAATGACGAATCTTAAAATAACAAATCTTAAATGAATCGCACTGAATCCGGACGGAATGAGAAGTGCGTCCGCTAAACTGATTAACAATGAGTCTGAGGTCGGCACAATGTGTTCCGAACGTTTTTGTCCGTCCGCTAATCTGCTTTGGAGCTCCGATCCTGCGGAACGGCTTGTACAAACAGAGTCTGCGCTCACCAAACTCCTTCCCTTCACCAATTGGGGAAGATATTCTTGGACGTTTGATTTTCCTTTTTCGTTGTAGATTGGAGATACACGTGCACGATATGGATTTTGTTGAGTTCAAGATAGCAAAATTTCATTTAATTTTTCGCTTATTTTATATGTTGACTTGATATACGGTATACTGTATAGGATTCCCGTCAATAGCGCAGATTCCATTTACAAACGAAGACATGGACGAATCGAGAATTAATCAACTTCTAGGTCAGTCGATTTTATGGAGCCAATATTCGATGTTTTATTCACGTACGAATCTATGATGAGATACGCACAACCTGAGTACAGACCGAGTCATCCGCCGTGGCTCCGTCGAGTTTATTGACTCGTCGATTTTCACGGTTTTGATGAAATTTTTGCAGCCGAATTTATTGAGATGAAATTTTCAACAGTGATTCTGTTATACTGCTATCCTGTAACCATGAGATCCTGTTATCCCGAACTGCTATCATGAAGTGAATTCGACGAGGTCTTCGACAAACTGGAAGTTCTTTTGTATGACTTCATAAATAAAAAATTTAATTCAACAATCAATCAAGTAAAATTAAATAGCCGCTCTTTAGATATCCCTCTAATTCCTCAAGGAATTATGAAAAATAGCATGAAGAAACTTTCAATAAATGTCACAAGCACCAGAATATTATGAGCCCTTTCATTTCCTGTCTGCAGAGAAGTGAATATGAATGTGAACTTCGCCCTGAAGATCATTAGCGCGACTATGCTACTAGCTGAGCTGCGACTGCTACGAGAAAAATGAACAAATCTCATAATTGAAAATAAATTCGATTTCTAGAAAAGTCAAAATATTTTAATTGAAATAAAAAATCAAAATAGTTTAATTATAATATAATATTATCCTGATAACAGCCTGCGCTAGAATTAAAAGTATCATAACTATGAAACCCTCTCCTGGAAGGTAGGCCGTAGGCCTAAAATCCCACTTGGCTGTTCTTTCATTTAATATCCTGTGA